TCATCGTAGATCTCCTGACTGTGGCTCCGGGCCTCGTCCTCGGCGTAGTCTCGACCTCGCCGAAGGAGAGGCTCAGGGCGTCTGCGAAGAGGTCCGGAGGAGCCTTGCAGCTTGGGTCCATACTCCCGGATCGCCTCCGACAAGGTGCGGCGAACGTCGTCGAGGGCGTCGTCATGGCGCACCAGCCAAGCCGCCATCGCTTCTCCCTTCCTCCTCTTCAGTCCGAAGAAGAAGCGCGATATGTAGCGGCCTGCGTCCGGAAGTGTTGGAGCCTTCATCGTCTTCTTCAAGTGGTCCAACAATTGCTGCACGCCTTTGGGGTGACTGAACCACGAAGACGGCATCTGCTGGGCCGCTGTCCTGGCTGCCCCTTCCAGGGCGGCAATCAGTCGCGGCGCTGCTGTGTCTCTCTTGCGCCACTCGATTGTCTCGGTGTACAAGAGAGCCTCCCTGCGGTACTTCTCGAAGGTTTCCGCCGTGCCGTCGAAGATCGGCACACCATCTTTAAAGCGAATTTCATGGGCCATCCCTGGATCAAAAGCTCGCACGAGCCTACCTTCTACCTAATGCAGAAGGCAAGCTCCGCTACCATGCAAGCGGAGAAAGACTCTTTTCCATCAGAACCCCAAAGGCTTGCGAGTACATCCATTGCACTCTAAGACAGGAGCTTCAGCTTTGCAAGGGTTTAGGCTTTACAGGGGTTAGGGCTTAGGGGTTTAGGCTTCAGGGTTCCATTTTGCCCTAAGATGGGGAAGCAAAGTATCCCAGGCTTGGGATATTTCGGCTGGAGATCTTACGACAGACATGCCAAAAGGTCAGGAGTCGGTACCCCTTCGAAAATTGTCTCTGGCTTGCTGAACAAGACGCCACTGAGACTGGCTGATTTCGAAATTCCCGAGAAGGAACACAGGAGGAGGGGGAGAAAGAATGTCACAGCCAGCAAGGGGGCCATCCCGTGTCCGTCGGTTGCTCTTGCAGTGTGGAGCTTCAAGTTTAAGAGTTTATGATGATGCTGATCTCACGGGGCATGGCTAACCCTCATCGGGACATCATTTCGGGATCCGTCGTAGGTCTAAGGTTGGAATTTGCATGCATCGGCGCTGCTTGTGAATCCTGGCATAGGTTTTTTTACGGGCTGCTTACTTGAAACGGACTCCCAGAAGCGTTGCTGTAAGGGTGCTGCAGTGGTCGTACCCATGACGAAGTAGCTTTGAGGCATTTTCCCGTGTCCCTAATAACCCTATAAATCCAAAGCCCTGAACCCGAAACCCTTCCGTCCCAAGCGTGCAGTCCTGATGCTTTGGGTCGTCACTCTCCCGTGAATTCTGAGGCTTACGACGCACGGTTTAGGTTCCAGGGATCAGGGTTGTGGGGTTTAGGGGTTCGGCTGACCCCCCCATCAAGAAGGGAAGGACTGAGGTGTATCTCCAAATCCTCGCCGTCCATGCCGGAATTCCCAATCGGAAGTACATCTCATCATGAGATCGCTGCGTTAGCGGCCGAAGCCCTTGGGCATGTAACACCTGCTCTCACATCCATCCCTAAACCCTAAACCCTAAACCCTAAACCCTAAACCCATTAAATTATGGAGGCCAAACTCCCCTGAAATATCCGATGCTGAAATCAGGTCTACGCCTCGGCTGTACCCATCAACGTGCCTTTGCCAAAAGCAGTATTAGGTTTAGGGTTTAGGGTTTAGGGTTTAGGGTCTTAGGGTTCCTTAGTATAATTGTACTACAAGTAAAGGAACCCAAAACCTTATTCTACTTGCCAAGGCCCCTACATCAGAGTTTAAGAAATTGTCACTTAGGGCTTACAGGATTTAGAGCGAAAGATTTAGGATCTATGGGGTTTCGAACTTGGAATTTCAGGTTTAGCACTTGCGGCGTGAAGACTTGTGCCGGGCGAAGGCTCCACATGATGACATATATATATATATATAATAACGGATAAGGGTTTAGGGTTTAGTGTTAAGGTATATATATATATATATATAGCTCTTCTCATTCGGCTAATATGTATGTTGTAGAGATGTCGAATTCGCGTTTGTTCAGCAGGGTCGCATCGGCCCGTGAAGGTGTGGGGCATACTACATTTGACCTACCCCACACCCTGAATACTAAGGCCTGAACCCTTTACCCGAAAAACATGAAGGGCACCCATGAAACATAGAAGACTGAAGCCTGACGGAATACTTCCCTTTAAACCCTAAACCCCAAACCCCAACCCTGAACCCTAAACCCTAAACCGTACAGAAGAGAGAACCTATGGCTCGTCAGTGGTCTACATCGTTTTGATCTTGGTTGTCACGCTGAGAAGTACGTATCTGTAGGGTACTTGGGCCTCATTTTAGGAATACGCACTTGGACAATCATCATGTAGTAAGTATTAGTGTACAAAACCGTTTCCTCTAAAACCCCTATGCGACTTCTCGGAATTCGCGTCTGTGCGTGTATATATATATATACATATGCATGTAGACTCACGCTCATATGTCAACAGAGCCTTGAAGTATAACCGTGGTTCCACGGGCGGTTCCGGGTCGGTTAAGCCGTTGGAGCTCCCTGAGGTTGTTTTGCGTAGTGTCAGAGATCAAGAGTCTTCGGGGTTGGGGGCATTGGGGCTTTGCTGCGCTTTTATGTGGGTCTATTTTTGTAGTATGTAGGGTTTCTTTGTTTTGAATGGTTTCTTTGATTTGGAAGAGTATCTCCCATAGCAGCTTTGGGTAGCCGAAGCTTTAGAGTATAGACAGTGTCTCTTAGAGACTCCAGAGGCCTATGTCAACAGCATCTTTTAGAGTATGGGGAGTTATGTCAACTTGATCTTTTAGAGTATAGAGAGTGTCTCATTAGACTTGCCAGAGGCCTATGTCAACGGCATCGGGGCGGTGCAGAAGAATTTCGGCGATGCGAAGATGCAGGCGCGTCGGTGAAGAAGACATTGGGCATGGGATCTGAGGTATAAGTCTGGACGTGGAATGAATGTTCTAAGCCCAGGTAGAGTCATTCTGAGTTCGAAACCCTGCAACACCCAACATCCGAAACTCAAGATTGTCTACATCATGAACTTAAACTGCAAGAAGTAGCAAGAAGTTCAACCCAAATCCCAGCTCCCCGACCCCTTCGACAGGAGTTTCAAAGCACCATCGCGCGGCTCTTTTTGCTTGCCCAGCAGCTTGGTCTGCTAGCTTGGACAGCTGAGAGCTTCAGGAGCTAGGGATTTAGGCCAGGGGGCGAAGGGACTTAGGTTGTAGGGTCATCAAAATTTAGGTCTCTACACCAAGTTATTTTGAACACCGGTTCTCAGGAATGGTCATTCCTGGATCTTTCCAATGTTATTTGCGGGGTGGGTGTGTCACTGCCCGCACCATCAGTGTGGGTAATTTCGTTAGTCATATAGTTGTGAGCTGTGCTTTGCTCATGTTGATTCTGTTGATCACGCAATCTGGATTGTGTTAGGCTGTCTTGTCTCCGCTATAAACTATAGATCCTCCCCTAAGCTCCGCGTGGTGAATCTTTCCCAAACTCCCGCAAAGCCTACCGGTGTGGGGTTTCGGCGTGAGAGCCATCTATTCATACGAGAAGCAGCAGCTAATCTTTGAGGTTGTAGGCTCCGTTCCTGTAGGGGTTCCATTTCTATAAGGTTGCAAGAACTGCCATTTGGACATCTGCTTCTGTAAAGGTCCATGCACCCATGTAGCATTTCTTTGGTTTTAAACGGTCCTTGTATCAGTGCTTTAGCAAGTAAAAGTGCATACTGCACTATACTGGTACATGGACCGTACACTTAGGGCTTCCTCCAGTGTGGATGTTGTCGCAGCTCTGGCCCAAGCAGTGGCAAAGGGGGCCACTGTGTGGTTTCCTGCCAGTCCTGATTACGAAGGCTTCTTGTGTTTCGTGATAATCGCCTAAATGAGACAAGGTTTCATGATGGCATGACGGGGAAGGTCAACAACTTCTAGGTTCCCCAGTAGTACCCTTTTGCCCTTTTTCTTTTGGGGTTCCCTTATTAAAACCCAAATAGTAGGAAAAAGGGTACCCTTATTATTAAGGGGCTACTGGGGAACCTAGACTTACTTGTATGATATCAGCACTCCCATGCCCGCAGTGCGGCCCACGGTCAACTGAGATTTCACATCTGGTTTGAATGCCAAGACCCTCGAGCCCCCCAGAAGCCCAAAGCCCCATAAGCCTTCGCCATAGGCCCTAAAGTAGTTCTTTTTTGGGGTTCATTTATAGAATCCTATAAGGTAACCCCAAAAAAGGAACTACTACGGGGCCTAGGGGTGCTCGTATCCTTCAGTACGCAAAGCCTTACATAAATAGTAATTGCCCGAAGCACGAACTCCTACACGACCTTAAACGCCTCAAGCCCTTCAAAAGGAGATCACGATCATGGCCAGGGCTACGTGCCATGAGGTGCTGGTGCAGTGGATTCCTCAGGATAGTGACTTGGACGGTGACAATAAGACAGGGTAAACCCTAAACCCTAAGCCCTAAAAGGGGCCTGGTAGTATTGCTCCCCAGGCTGCCCCAACATGCTTGCATTAGAACGCCCCTCCCCCCCAATTCCAAGACAGCCAATCGCAGAAGATCCGAGATCCCTACATCCTCGAATGAAGGAACCCTAAACGCTAAACCCAAGCATAAGTTCAACTGCTAAAGGACCCTCAATCGAGACGTGCTAGAGTCCATGAGGAGTAGGTTCGATTTTCATACGGGGTGACTACAGGGTAAATCTAAGTGAACATTTGCAATACTAACTACATATATATATATATAGAATTGTGTATGTATGTATGTATGTATGTATGCATGTATGAATGTATGCATGTATGCCTGCACGCATGCATGTATGCATGTATGGATGTATGTAGGGTATGTACGGTTTGTATGAATGTATGTAAGTATGTATGTATGTATGCATGCATGCATGGATGTATGTACGTACGTATGTATGTATGTATGTATATATATATATATGGAGATATGTATAAGCACATAATATGTAAATGCCCCCATACTTAAAAATACATATATACATATAGAGAGACACATATGTATATACATCTTATAAATCAAAAAATAAATAACTACATACATATATATATATGCATGTGTGTGTCTACGCGCTGCTTTATATAGGTGTTGCGCATGCAGACATGTACAACAACATTGGGCAAGCTTCCACAAGCAGCACGCTGCAATATAGCTGGCTACCCTGAACCTAGACAAGACCGTCCTGTCTGTTCAGGTTAGAGGGCTATATCGTTCGTACTCGTATGTTCTGCCCTAAGCCTATCCCTGTACTATCTTGCACTATGTATATACATACATACATACATATATAGGTCTTGTCCATATAGATTACCTGAGCGCTCTACAATCCATGCCATGAAGATACTGAGGTGAGGGTTTTCTTCTCGACAATTGCGGACTGGCACAGCAGGTCTGCTTGGCGACGGCCAGCAAAGCGTTGCGGTCAAGTTTCGGACAGTGGGTCGTGGCTCGGTATGCCAACCGCTTGCAAGAGCTGAGTGATCTTGGCTACCTGTACTCTAGGCTTTTCATTCAATCTGGAGGGTTTGAGACCAGCATCTCCAGATCGCAGTTTGGTGGATCCTTGTGCATGCCTGGCGCTGTGCCGATCTACCAAATTTTCGAGATGTCCGTCAACGCCAACTCCGAGGATTTCATGTGTTTCTTTTACCACCCTGCCCGATCTGCACCAAGGTTCCTTGCATCCATACTTGTTGAAGTGTTCAGGCGCTTGGAGTCTGCGTCTCTTCTCGGGGAAGCTGCCGCTACGGATGATTCTTTTCTTTCTCAACTCTTGAAGGTGCTCAAGGCACTGGAAAAAGCCGTGAAATCTTGGCAGTCAGATCTTTTACAAGGGAACAAGCGGAGCCGGTGGGACGGAAACGAGCTCTTTGCCAACATCGTCTGTGCCATTCCACAGAATGAGGCGAAGAAGTCCGGTGTGGCTGACTGGTTTGTTCGGCAAACGAAAACGAACATATTGGATGCTGTAGCTTCATCAACCAAGATGTTCTTGGATGTGCAAAATGACAGCAGTGATCGACACTGCCTGTGCATGGAGTTCATGAACGTGCTTGCTGCTGTAAGCCACTGTGGATTTGCAACAGAGACTGTGAGCAGCATGTTCGGATCGTGCGTGATCCGGATCGTTCGGGACGATTGCAACCTTGGCCCATGTTTTGACGATGGTGTTCAACTATCGCAAGTTCTCTCGGTGCTTGCAAAGGCAAGGGGTGAGATGTTTCACGTAGATAAGCTCTTTGGAGATCCTGATTCTCCAAAGTGCAGGTTGCTCGACGAGATTCTGAGGACGTGTTGGGAGCGTCATGAAGGCGACCGTGCAGTATCTTCGGCAGGCGACGCGCTGGAGAATATCTTGTTCTGTGGCAACTTGGAATACTTCCCAACAGAAGGCTTCACCGCAACCGAGCGATGGAACATCAACAGTTTTCAAAGTCGTCTTCTCGACTTTGTAACTCCCAGGTACGGTAAGTCACGCTTTGAATATTCATGGGGTCAATCGCCATGGCCTCGGGACGTGGTTAGAGCACTTATGCAGGTCGAGACGTCTCATTTTTGCACGCGGCCGTGGAGGCGCCTCGGCCGCCGCCCGGACGCGACGTCTGCGTCAGATCGCATTGCAACGCTTCAGCCTGAAATCAATGCTACCCGGCAGGGCTGGGTGAAAAAGGTTCTTGATGGAATTACACATCACTTGCGTCTACATTCAGTTCCTGTAGTATCCGAGCCGCCAGAAGGGACCGCCTCTTGGGACCTGCAAGCCTTGTTCCCCGACACAGACATCGAGGACGTCCGACTGGCATGCCAGGAATATCCGGTCCTTCAAGACACTTTAGAAGAATTCTTGGACGAAGTGCTCGAGTTGCATGGGATGAAAGCAGAAGGAGACGATGACTGACCAAGAGAGACCGTGAGCACGGGTGTAAAAGCGCTTTAGCGTTGTAGAGTTTAGGGTTCGGGTCTGGGGTTCAGGGTTTAGGGTTTAAGGTTTATAGGGTTTAAGGTGTAGCGTTTAAGGTTTAGGGTTTAGGGTTTGAGATTTGCCTGAAGTGCATGCCTGAGGTACTTCGGCTCGCTTCGGACGGCAGCGAACTTTGCTCGCGACTCCGGTCGCCGGTCGAAAGTCTTCTTGATGCCCCTAGGCCGGGCTGCGTAATGTAGGGGCCTTAATAATTCGCTAATAATTAGACTAGGGCTTTTGGGGTATATTCTTTCTACTATAATCATAATAAGGAGCCGCAAAATAGAATTGGTAATTACTTAGGTCCCTGTCCCTTTATTAAGTCTGTGTGCTGAGGAGTTTTGGGGGTTTAGGGTTGAGGGATCCGAAATGCTCCGCTAGTGCGTGAGTGTGTTTCTTGTCGTACAGATAGATGCAATTCTTTCTGTAGTAGCGGAGCATTGCCTTCGAAAGCAAGATGGCAAAACCGAGGAATTGTATATCTTGACATACACCCCCATGCAAAGAGATACGAAGCATTATGGTCATTTCCTGTAGCCGGTATCCTTTCAGCGACTAGAATACGAGGAACAGCCCCTCCGCCTCATTTTTATCCTTTCTATCCTGAACCCGAAACTCGAAACCCCCATAGTCTGACCGGGAACCCGTAGCCCGAAATCTCCGCACTCTTACCGAACAGTTGTCAGGTCGGCATCCCCCCAGCCCAGAAACGACCTTGGCAGGTGGAGGTGTCTTCCGGAATCCTTGGGAATCAATTGCGGCTTGGCTTCTTTCTCTATGTTCCCCAGTAGTACCCTTTTGCACTTTTTCGTTTGGGGCTCCCTTATTAAAACCCAAATAGTAGGAAAAAGGGTACCCTTATTATTAAGGGGCTACTGAGGAACCTAGTTCTAGAGTCTGGAATTATGGGGCGTGTAAGGCTGATAGGATCCAAGTTCCCAATATAGTACGGCACCCTTACAAAAAGGACCCCAAAAGGGAAACTACCCATGTAAGCCCTAAGCGCATTTAGCGACCCAGGTGGAGAGCATCGCGCGCGCAGTGGAGCTGCTGCCCGCAGAGGATTTGGAATGGCTGGTGACTGGGCGTGCACCGTAGGGTTTTGGGGCCTAGGGGTTAGGGTTTAGGGTTTGTAACGTTTAGGGTTTAGGGGGTTACATGTAGCTTTTAGCGTTTAGGTTTTTTAGGGCTTTAGGGTTGAGTAAGGGGTTGCAGGGTTTCGGGTGGTTGAATATTTCGGAGCATCCTGTCAAGGCTTGATCCGAAGCCTGATGCCCAAAGGGTCCTAGGTACTGTTATGGGGGATACTTTCCCAAATCATAATATTTATTCCTAATATAGAAACCCTACATTCTACCACAGGGGTACTTAAGACCCTTTGGGATAACGATGCCTACATGCCCTAGGCGCTACAACCTTCAATTTTACCACCCGGCATACCCCCTCACCCAAAGGTCCGACACCCATTGCCTGTACACCTGTAGATCCTAGAACAAACCCCGATCAGCCGTTCCTAAGTTGGACCATGTAAGTTTTGAAGCTCCAGAAACTCTCACTATGCGACTCAGGAATTTCCCATCCTGCTATATATCCCGCAATTCCAATTCTTAAGGCATCTATATCCTAAACCCGAATGCTACTGTAGTAGCCCTAAGGGTCTAAATACCCATTATTTGAGGACATTGGGGCCTTTTTGGGTAAAACCATAAAAAAGGACTACTTGAACCCTTAGGGTAAACCCTAAAACCTAAACCCTATAAACCCTAAAACTCTGGAAAGAATCCTTTCAAGAAGTACTTCGCAGGACATCGGACTCCTCGTTCTCCGGCGTCCCTCGGCTGCCGGCACGGGCCTCCTATCGGCAGAAGAGCGAGCCTGGGACGGACTTTAAGGTTTGATATACGGCTTTAAGAATTATAGACCAGAGTTATACTATATCACACTATGACTATGTTAGGGAGCCCTAAGTCGCAATATTCTTCTACTTGTTCCGGCCGCTATATGGGGCGCTGAGAGTTTGGGGTTAGGCAAGTTTATTCTTTCTATTGGGTTAGGGATTTCGTGGCTTTGGGTTGGGTCACAGGCTCAGGGATTCTTGAGTTTTGTGTGTAGGTTTGGGTTTAGGATTCGAATCAGTTTGGGCTGAAAGGGTTCGGATGTGTGGCTGCAGAAGGCCAAAAGGGATTTCGGCCCGAGGAGGCGAGCTGAGCCAAGAATTTCGCCCCGAAATTGCGGGGCAAACTCATATGGGTAGTTCTCCGAACTAGGGTCGCTTTGAGGGTCCCTGTATAAGGGTGCCGTACTAAAATGGGGGCCCAAAGAAGGACCCGAATCTAGAAAACTACCCATTTGTTCAAGACCAAAGCTCTGGCTTGAAGAGTGGCCATAAACCCAGAACCCTAAGCCCTAAACCCACTCCTCGTGCAGGATTCGTGTTTGGCTTGCCTCAGCACGGTTTTGCGAGTTCCCTAGAACGTACAGAGTTCAGTCTTAAAGCCCCCCTTCGAACTACAAGAGCCCTTAACCATAAACCCTAAACCCTAAACCCTTAATAAATAAATCAATAAATAAATATGTATATATATATATATATATCTTTATATTTATTATAGGGCTGACGACTCAGAAGTTCGGGTTTTAGAGTCGAGGGCATATCGGGGTTTCGGGTACGTAGAGCAGGGTTGAGGGAATCACGTCAAAAGGGCTGTGGGAGTAGAAGCAATCAAAACCACCCGACAGCAGACCGAAGACCATTTTAGGGTTTAGGGTTTAGGGCCTCTTGCACCCTCCAAAACCCCTCCAACCCTGCATCGAAGGCCGTCAATCGCTAAACCCTGAAACCCCGACCTCAAACCTACACAAAACTCGTTAGGCCCTGAACTCATAGTCCAGCCCAATACCGAAACCTCACTCATGTGTCTCCCCTTGGAAGCCCTTCACCCAAGCGTCGCAAGAGATCTGCCGACAAAGACATCCCCCAAAACTCACTTCCTCAATCCTACCTACAAAGCCCTTTAAAGCCCATAGAAAACCCGTCACACAACAGGCTACACCTAGAACGAATCATAAACACAACCATTGTAACATGATTCAAAAAGGACCCCACAAGTCAGTAAGCCAGAGGCCCGAGGGCCCATAAGTGACCCCACAACACGACTCTAAACCCCATAAGTGACCCCACAACAACCTTAAACCCCAAAGACTGAACCCTAAACCCCAAATAATGACCATAAGTCATCCAAAACCAGCCCCAAACCCTATACAGACCATAAGCGACTCAACATGTCCTCAGGAACAATCGAGCTCCTGAAGAGCTACCGGAAGTGGAAACCTCACGCATAATGTAGCGGCCTTGATAATTAGGAGTTCGGGTTTATGTTTTGCGGGCCTTGATACTTAGAATGGGGGTTTGGGCTCTTTTATAGAAGAAGTATAATAAGGAACCCCAAGATAGTTTTGGTAGTTGTTTAGGCCCCTATAATATTGCCTTGAATAGCAGAGTCGGTAACCTTCGACCTTTTTTTGGCGTACTAGAATCTTCGTATAATCTTGAAGGTTACTAGGGATACTGGAGCAATTTGAATGCTTCATAGCCAGGGCTTAAGCTGGGCTTTAGGGTTCAGCGACGGTTCAGGGTTAGGGGCTTGAATACCCATAAGCAGCAGCCAGGACTGAAGGTTCAGGGTTTAGGACCAGAAAGTTCGGAGTCTGAATATTCTGTAGCAGCAGGCCCTTGTAGTTTCTGTACTTCGTCTTGTTTGACCATTCCTAGAGAGCGCAGCCTATGGATTTTGCTCACTATTACTATACAAAACGGGCAGACGGAAGGAGTTTGAAATTCGGACCGAGGGCTGCGAGTATAGGGTTCTCGGTTCGGCGTTCAGCTTTGTTCAAGGTTCTCGGTTTCGGGTTCAGCTTTTTTCAAGGGTGCAGAGTGTAAACGTCAGGGAGGAGGATTTAGACGTTGGAGTTTCGGGTGCAGGGCGGGTCTAAATTGCTTCGGGGTCTATCATTGCATGCAACTGTGGAAGAAGGAAGCTTCGGTATCAATAAGATAGAAGCCTAAATAATTACTAACGTGATTTCTCACGGTTCCTTATTGTAATGATACAATGAAGGAGCCCAAAATCCTAGTCCAATTACTAAGGCCCCTACATTAGCTCGCACTCGCAGGAAGAGGACATGGACCACCGCAATGAAGGAGTCCACGTTCCCGTACCTTAGACTCCCCCAGTTCAGACCTCCGGGCCATGTAGATGTACATATATATATATATACACACATGTATATATATATATATATATATATAAGCATTCGTTCGTATATTTGTTTGCTTAGAGACTACTGTATTTCTTCATGCGTATGTGCATATGTACTTGACTTTGTTATCTAGTTTATCTAGTTGCTTGTTTTATTTTCTTATATAGGTGTGTACACATATACATATATATATATATACATACACATATACATACGCCTATACACATATGTTTTGCATACTCCTGATCAGAGAAAGCATGTGCCCCCTTAGCAGCCTGATATAGCGCCTTTAGCACATTGGCTTCCCCAAAGCCTGGGAAGCTCTGAAAGGGGCTCGCTTGGAAAAAGGAGCTGCCAGAGCAAAGGTGTGGGCGACAGATCCTTAGGTCCTGGCGAAGGGCTTTCGGGTTTTTACGGCTTTTGTTTTTGTCCTTGCTGAGGTTGTTTTTTGGTCTTCGATGGTCTTAGGGTTTTCAGGGTGTGAGGATTTAGGGATCTGTTTCCACATACCTGATTTGGTTCGCCCTCGTCCCAAGCGTAGAACCCAAGCCAGGCCCTCTTCTCACAGCCACGCCGGGTTGTAATCAAAGAGGCAGTACTTCTCAAAAGTGAACCTGTGGCCCGATTCGGCTTAGTAGGATTTAGGGATTAGGGTTTAGGGATTAGGAACGGTTCAGGGTTTAGGGTGGAGAATAACTACTTAATGCTGCTCCACGGTGGCTACTTCGACTCAGACTCTTGAATCCTGTGCTACCCTTTACTACCAGTACTAGGGTCTATCCATCAGGCTTGTATTGACAAGATTCCTGCCACCGAAGTCTAAACTCTGAACCCACAAGCCTTGCAAGCCCGGAACCCCGATACATCTGGGTGGTTGTCAAAATCATGGCCCCTTTTTGGGTCCTTATTTTAATACGGCACCTATTATTTAGGGTACTCCAGAAGGGACCATAATGTTGACAACTACCCAAGAGCCCGCACCTTCTCCTGCTTGGTGTACCTCAACCCAAGCATCTCGTGGAGACTCGTCGAGTCCTAGTCTTACCCTGAAGGTTTAGGGTGCAGAGTTCGGGGTTCTAGTCGTTTAGGGTGTAGGGTTTAGGGTTCTAAGTTCTATTCTTAAAAGATTCAATAATATCAAAGTTCTAAACTTAAAAGATTCAATAATGTCAGATTCTCCCTAACTTAACTTACATGAGAGACATGACTGCCACCCTTTGAACCGAAGTCCCTCATGATCGGGCCCCTGGCATCCCTCAAAGTTTCGCTTGGGGATGCCTTCTTTTCCTATAGCTCTACTTAGACTCTACTTGAAGGATGAAGGAACACGGGGCTTAGTAAGTCAGGTCATGAGCATTATCCCGATGGTATCAATAAGTAATCAAACTAAACGTAGAATCTTCTTGTCATAGGATGATCATATTTTGCATCGATAGTTTCGGGTTCCTTGAATCCTTAAACTTCCATTCGGGACCCGGGATGGCCATAGAGTGTAAGGCCTATCGAGGTCTTCCCCGATGTTGCACGGACTCTCGGTTGTAGAGGAGAACTCCTCTTAAAAAAAGGGGTCCCTTATCAACGACCCCGCCCCCTACTGATACTTAAGGAAAGCCTTGCCAAACCCTAAACCCTAAACCCTGCTGACACTTAAGGAAATCCTTGAGTTACGGGCCATTTTGGAGCCCCTGGATCCTGACTTACTTGGAGGTTCATGGGTAGTTATAAGTGCGGTTATAAGTAGGGTAACTATACTTATCACCCATATTAGGGGACTTATAACCCTACTTATAACTACCCATGAACCTCGAAGTAGTTTCAATGGCAGAAAGCTCTCCATGTGGCGTAGTTCTCTACATTAAGGTCCCTTTTTTGGTCCCCATTATAGTACGAGACCCTTATACAAGGGACCCTAATTTAGAGAACTATATCCATATAGTTTCGGGTTTCGGGTTGTGACTTTATAGTAATTACGAGATGCTTGTAAAAGGGACCCTAATTTAGAGAACTACCCATATAGTTTAGGGTTTCGGGTTGTGACTTTGGGATCCAGCGACCTCGAGTCCCGCGCTAGGGTTCTTCTATTGAGGCTGACTGTGTCTATAAACCCAGGGTTGACGGTTCCCCGGTGCATCCCAACTATCTAGCCTCCCTAAACCCAAATCCCTAAACCCTAAACCCTAAACCCTAATCCCTATCCCAGAGTCCGATCCAAAAGTTTCAACACCTCTGAGGGAACCCGAAACCCAAAACACACACCGGGTTTCTTGTGAGATGTCGGTATCCTTCCGGAGGATGCGCTGGCAGAGGTCACGATCATGTCAGATTGGAAGGACACTTGTTCTGAAAATTGGGGTGTAATTGAGGGTGTAATTGGGCAGTTATCTAAATTAGGGGCCCCTGTTAGGTCCCCAGTGTAGTACGGCACCGTTCTAAAAAGGCCCCTTAAAAGGATTAGGGCCCACCCAGACCCCATAGAACCTACCTTGTAAGGATGCACAGAAGGAAGTCGTCATAAGGAACCCGAAAAAGGTAGGTTCTTAACCCTAAACCCTAAACCCTAAATCCTAAACCCTAAACCCCAAACCCTAAAAAATCCTAAATCCTAAACCCTAAACCGGTCCAGGTAGGTTTTTTTCACAAGTTCCCATCGCCAGGCCTCGGGAGGCCGAGGAAGCTGTCAACCCCTCGACCCGATGCCACTGATTTACATTTAGGGTTTGGGGTTTCGGGTTTGGGGTTTAGGGTTTAGGGTTTAGGATTTAGGGTTTAGGGTTTAGGGGTTTAGGGTTTAGGGTTTAGGGTTTAGGGTTAGGGGTTAGGGGTTGAGGGGTTTAGGGGTTTAGGGTTTAGGGTAGAGGGTTTGTGACAAGGGTTTGGAGTCTTCAATTCAAACCTTCCGTAGCTTATCCTGCCCCACATAAGTCTCGTAGCCCGAGACCCCCACCTCCTCGACCTCCAAACCCCCTGAGCCCCATAAACAGCCTTTGGCAGCCTCTTTCCTCCCAGAACGCTTTCATGCACCTCTACCAAGCCCGTATGACACCTGCGTGGCGCCTTCTCAACCCCTATTTCTTGAGCACACCCTACACAAGCCTGTAGCCGCATATACCCTTGTACAACCCTAGACCCAGACACAAGACCTTCCTGCAAGGGTCCAGGTATCTAACCATCAGGTACTCACCCAAAACACCGAACTACAAACGACTACCCTAAACCCTAAACCCCATAAACCCCTAAACACGTGTGCATAATTATCAGGTTTTTTGGACCCTGAAATTATCCCGGTGCTAGCAGGAAACCTACGGCTGAGCGATTGACAATTTGCCTGAGCATCTGGGGGGTGTTCGACATCAAGGTTGCCTTCTCACTGCTTTATCGATCTTCAGAGCTTTTCAAAGGGTTTCACAAGCCCTAGTATTGACTTACGTAGTAGTTTTATTAATAAGATTTTGGCGGAATATCACAATAAAGCGTATGTTCATGGGGACAACTAGGGGGTACTATTGCTGACCAGACCCTTGTATTCTGTGGTCGTGGACCCTAAGGTTCTTCGTATGCTGCCTTAGATGAATCTCGGGTTTTGGGGGTTGAGGTTAGGTAACGTACCCTGAGTCACCATATGAAGCAAAGCATATTATTCATTGTGTATACGCGACTACTATGGAAACTTAAACTGAAATCTCGAGCGGCCCTGAAACCCCACGACTTCTCCCAGACCAAACACGTCCGGATCATACCTCACTGAAAACGTGCCTACCTAATGCTATGCATGGGGAATCGAATATCAGCCGTTTCTTAGCCCTGAGCCCACGTTTGTTCCCTACATCCGAGATGCCATAGACCCGGAATCAGAACAAATCACACAAAACATGTGCCCATGCTTTGTTTCTCCTTATCGTCCTTCTACCATCATATTGATAACATGCCCTAAAACCCCAAAACCTTATTTGTTCCGGCCCCATGGTAGCTGAAAGGAATCCTTGTGTAGAGCACCCGCCAAATCCAGGGACGGCAGGTTCCGCCCACATCGGCACTGATAGGCCTTAAAGAAACCTTAAACCCCTAAGTCCTAAACCCTTGTATGTGGAATGTCAGCCTTGTGTGCATGTTGGGCTTTTGGGGTCCGGATGTAGGTCTTTTTCGAGTCCAGGGCACGAAAGGTTCAGGGCTTAAGACTTGGCGTTTATGGCTTTGGGTTTAGGGTTCCTGGCTCAGGGTTTACGGTTTATGGCTTAGGGTTTAGGGTTTATGGCTTAGGGTTCCCGGCTTAGGGTTTAGGGTTTATGGCTTTGGGTTTAGGGTTCCTGGCTTAGGGTTTAGGGATTATGGCTTTGGGTTTAGGTTTTATGGCTTAGGATTCCTGGCCTAGGGTTATAGGGTTTATGGCTTAGGGTTCCTGGCTTAGGGTTTAGGGTTTAGGGTTTAGGGTTTAGGGTTTAGGGTTTATGGCTTAGGGTTCCTGGCTTAGGGCTTAGGGTTCCTAGCTTAGGGTTCCTCGTGGAAGATGATCCTGCCATCCCAAAGCACTTTGTAGATATGCCTCTCTGCCAGTGCCCAAGGCAACAGCGGAGTGGGTAGTTAGGATTTGAAGCTCGCGACCCGGTAGCCCCGAACTATACTGCATGATAAGGAAACACACTTCAGCCACGGTTTGAGCCTGAACCCCAAACCCTCCAAATTCAGGCGACTCAAAACCCTAAGCCCTTCACACTTCAACCCTATACAGACGCCTTAGCCAGGGTTTCGGTTCGGGGTCTGAAAGTGGACGTAGCACGCGACTCATGACCAAGTGCTTGCATGCATTCCTTGAGTCCTTTGTTCGGGAGGGGGATGTCTCATCGAGCTAAGCACGTTGCTGCAAGGGTTTGTCAGACTTCTACTATTGCTTGTTGCAGGGTCCCGCTCTTTCACACGCAGAGCACGTGCAGCATAATGTTATTTTAAGTCTAGTAATCAGGACTGCGCAAGTAAGTATACAACAGTTGCGATTAGTTGTTCGTGCCCATTCCGAGACCTCACGACTGAAGACCGGATAATCTGAGTTGTGTTTGAGCGTTTCGTGCAATATTGGATGGTAAACTAGACTTAGCTAGACTCAGACCTCAGGTAACTTAGGAATCTTTAGAAAAGACAAGGACCTCTTAACAAGGGACCTCTAATTTCGAGACGACCACGTATCGGAGCCTGGAAGCACTCTTGGACCGTTTCGGCTGTCACGCGTTTTTTGGGTTTAGGGTTTAGGGTTTAGGGTTCAGGGTTTAGAGTTTAGGGTTTAGTGTTTAGGGTTTAGGGTTGTTAGGGCAGGCTGGTGGGATTCGAGCAGAAGAAAATGTCTGCATGCTGCCGCCTTTGCGGTGTGGCGATTGGGATTCGTTCAGGTTTTGGGCGAGTCTATCCCCTAAACCCTACACCCTAAACCCTATATACATTTGTCCAAGGGCACCCTTGGAAAAGTATGTGCTTTTCATATGTTTCGCTTTGGGGCTTCTCCAATCGAAATTATCAGTAAACTCACCATGACAGCAGGCAGGTGCACAGGAACCTTCATGTAGAGGTGTAAAAATTCGCAAAAGCATCCTCTTGTTGTCGCCGTATGGCTTTAATTGTACAGTAGTCCCCGATTGCTGGAGTTCCGCCATCCTGCCATAATATCCATCTGCCGCACACCCACAGCCACCAAAGTCAAAGCTTTGATCCCTATACTCTGAAACCCAGAGCCCTTTCACAGAACCTTAATACAGCCCTTATAGAACCCATAGAGCACTCGTCAGAACCCATGGTAGACCAATAGAAGTGATCGGATTGCAAAACCTCCCGTGCCCCTCGCAGGATGGTGATCAGATCACCTCGGAGGTCACAGAGGAGTCCTCGGCAAATGGGTAGTTCTCTAAGTTAGGGTCCCTTTCTGGGTCATTGTTATAAGGGTGCCGTAGTATATTGGGGGGACCTAAACAGGGAGACCCTAATTATAGAGAACTACCCAATCCTGCGGTTTGTAGCCTAGCGCTTATGATGTTGAGTTTAGGGTTTGGGGTAATAGTGACCTTTGCAAAAGCCCTAGACCCCTAAACCCCAGAGTAAATCTCAAACCTCAAACCTATGGTTTGGAGTCGACCGAGTTTCGAGGCAGGAACATCAGAATCAGATTGGTCTCCAATTCCTCCTTCCTGAGGAGTTTGTCGGGTGTTGGGCGCGGATGTGGGTGTTGCGCTGGAGGGCCGTTGGGGCATCTCGAGTCGATAGGCTTTAGGTTTTCGATTCGAACTAACCCTAAACCCTAAACCCTAAATCCTACACCCCAAACCCCAAACCCTAAACCCCAAACCCTAACCCCGACTGACTTGGTCCATGTGTAGCTAGGTCATGCCCAGGCCCCCAGCCTCGCCGCAGTGCGCGCTAAGACGAAAGCCAAAGCCGAAAACACAAAAAGGGGCGGTCCCGAATTCAACACCATGCTTGGGGTTATGGCCTGAAGGTTTAGGGTTTAGGGTTTAGGGGGCTCAACGCAGCGGCTTGGACGTCACAGGGTGCCGATTTAGCGTCCTGGGTTTGAGGTGTGGTGGTCAGTTAAGTTTAGTTCAAGTCATCCGGCGTGTCAAGCTAGCCATGTGGTGTTTCGTCCGCATACGTAAGCTCTATCAACACTAAATTGAAAACCTGCGCCCAAGTGCTCCACAGGCTCGGAAACCTCTGAGACAGACGCTTGGGTCATCTCTAAACCCTAGACCCTATAAACCCTAAACCCAAAACCCCAAACCCTAAACCCTAAACCCTAAACCCTAAACCCTAGACCCTAAAAACCCTAAACCATAAACCCTAAACTCTTCCGGCTCAAAAAATTCAGTCACCCCAAAGCCGGCTCGCCCGGGATGAAAGAGCAGCTGCTGCCTCTGGAGATCTCCGGGGCCCGACCGATGGTTGCGGAAGGTAGGGGGTTTAGGGTTTAGGGTTTAGGGTTTAGGGTTTAAGGATGCTTGCAGAAACAGCGAAATGTGAGCTTTAGAGCGGTTATAGCCATAGAACATTGTGGTCCAAGTAATATAGTAGTATTGATGATCATGACAAGTTTTGTGTTGGTCGCGTAGTAGTCAATGACCGTAGCAACAACGGTCACAATACCTAGCATGTCTACACATTAATAGCGTTATAGAAATAGAACAATACTGCTTATACTACTATCAATAATGATAATGATACTGATAGTCACACTGATAACAACAAAGAGCAACAAGACATCGATGAGAGTGTGCTTGCATAGCCAGCGGAAGACCGTATAGTTTGGGGCTCTCTGTGTCTGTTCTCTACGCAAAAGCTTGAGCTTTTGAGGGACCGGCTTATTGTCACAAGCTTGGACTAGAGGGCTTAATATACCGGTTTAGGGGTTGTAGTCTGCGGCTCAGGGTTGTTCTGGGGGTGTGGAGGGCTCCTATATGGAATTTGGAGGTGGGATGTGTAGATTCGCTTTGCCTTTGGGGTTCCTGGTTTTGCTTTTTTCCTTTGGCACTCCCTCTTCGATACGAAGATCATTCGGATGCTGGAAGAGCCCTCAATAAAGCCCATGCTATGTACGCCAAGTAGAGTCCCTTTCGCCCTTCCGGCCGAGCCCGCGAACCCTGAAATGCTTTTGCAAAATCCCCGAAAGGCCTACCCATGGGCCCCATAGTAGTTCCTGTTTGGGGTTCATATTGAGAATCCTATAAGGTAATCCCCAAAAGGAACTACTATGGGGCCTATGGGTAACGCCAACCAAACCGTTCAAAGCCCAAGCCTCCCCCTCTCTGAGCAAAGCACTCGTAAGGCTTCGAAACCCTCAAAAAAAGTCCCTAAAACCTATACCTTGGAGTCTAAAAAATCCCTAAAACCTATACCTTGGAGTCTAAGAAATCCCTAAAACCTATACCTTGGAGTCTTTCCTGACATGGCTACTGTGAATCCGAAGACAGAGGGCCCAAGCCTTTCAGATGGAATTTTTGTGCGGGGCTTTGTAAGATTTTGCAAGGCCTTATAGGGTTGCGGAAGGATATGAGGTTTTGCATGTGGACATTGCTTGTTGTAGCGGTCCTTATCAGAAGGATGCTTTTGGGCAAGTTTTCATATGGGCGTCTTCGACTTTCCAATACCCCCAAAAGGGCACTTACTCAGGTACCAAAGAAATTGGCTGTACAGAGGATTGGCACCTCAGGGAAACCCTAAACGCCGCGATACCTAACCCCTTCAAGTCTAAACCCGAAACCCTAATCACTTAAACCCTAAACCCTAGAGGCCTAGACCTGAAGAATTCAATCGTACACCCTGAGGGCGTCGTTGAGGCTTTCGGGGCCAATGTCTTTGAGGCTGCTAAGCCCTAAGCAAACAGGGTTTAGGTGTTAGTTAGGGCATTAAAGCCCTCAACTCCAAAACCCTGAGACCCCAAGCCCTGAAGCCCAAAGCCCGAACAGCTTTAAGCCTAAAGCCCGAAACCCAAGAAGCCCTAAACCCTGACGACTGGACTTGCGTCTCGTCTCTCGCGCGAAGCTCGAAGGCGTGGAAGATCTGGAACCAACGCCGCAAGGCTGCCGTGATTTGCGGAGCAGTTGCGCTCAGTAAGGACTTACTGTAGAGGTTACAATTACGGTTTGAGGTTGGACCAGACTATGCGCCATGCCGCGCATGTGGATGTTGATGTTCCTCATCGGATGACGGGGATGTCTATATATAATATATGTAAATGCGTATGTATGTATGTATGTATG